GAGATAGAAGATGTGTCTACATAAGATATTTTACAAGGATTGGGCTGGTCAATGAGAATAAGCCTTAGATATGATATTGCATTACTAGAAATTACATTGATAAAGCTCTCAATATTTACTATGATGTTAAAAGTTTTTTAATATTAATGAAATTGAAGAAAATACAAGTTTGGTGTGTACCTTCTTCTCCCTTAGGTTGATCTGAAATACATCTGATGGTTCTTAAACTTACATCATCTAGGTGGTCACTCTCATGGCTTAGTTGAATTTTTTTATAATTTTAATGCAGAATATTTATAACTATTAGAATTCAAAGTAAGATCATAATCAATACTATAATCTTCTTCTACAAGGCTACATACATTAATTGTATCTTCTTCTAATATTGAATTCATTTCGTATTTGCTTAAGTGAAGAATACATGTAGGATATTGATAATTATGATGGACATGTTTATGACATTTAAAACACATCCCTAAAAGTATTATCTTGGGATGACTCATTAACACTACTCAGTTCTCTTTAATTTTTCAATTCTTAGATTGTCACATATTAGGGTTTTGGGACTAATTTTCAATGGGAGTATGGGTTATGGAAAATTGTGGCTTCTCTAATATTACACTTACTCAGGTGGATTTAACGAGAGCATTCTACGTACTTGATCTTTCAATCATGTATTATTGAAATCATTGAATTATGGGTTGAGTTGGAGGAATATACCTTGCAAATCAAGATTTTTGAAATTTCTCACATCTTGAGCTAATTAATAGGCATGTTCTAATGTAATTACATTAACAAAAGGTTTATACTAATAAACTTTTGGAAGGAACTACCTCAATATCTTTGTTTAGCCCACATCTCATGAAATGTTGATCAAATCAGGAGATATATAGGTAATTACATATTGTTTTTCTAGGTCATTAATATAAGCCAAAATCTATAGGTAGTTCAAAGATTTTTTTCTCAAGTTTTTTTTTCATCTCAAGTTTTTATTTTTTAGTTCATACATCTTCCTAAGGAATAATGTACCTACAATTTATCACTAAATTTTATTTGAATAAATATAGTTTTCTTTTCTTTTGTCATTTCATGTCATCTAAAATAATAGTTCATCTTAGCCTCCTAATCAATGTATACTCTAGAACCCATCAAAGTAAGGGGCCAAAAATAGATAGGCATCAATGTGCCTCATAGTTCTATTTTATGATCAACTGCAATACAAACCTATTTTCAGATCATGTTAAGTGGGACAAATGATATAAGCCCAATTTTAACCTAATTCAAGTGGACTAGAAGCCCATGATGTGTGAAGACTCTATTTGACCCCAATTCAGCCCAAAAATGACCCAATAAGAGATTTATCACATAATTTATGTGCCTACATATCAATTCTCATCTATATTGTTTCTCATATTTTGTTCATGTAAAATAATCCCCCTATTATGTTTAGGGCATTCCTATTCATTAGGGGCATTCTAACATAATTCTCCTTTTTGGTAAGAAAGTTTCAACTATTGTTTTTTTTGTCTTCTAGGATCATAATAGATTCCTCCTTTTTTAGGTTTTTTAAAACTAAATTTTGGCTTATATAAAAGCCTCTCTTGTAGCCCCAATTGTAATTCATACTTTTTATTAATTTATTTTTGAGTGCCCTTCTTCTCTATTGGTTGATTCCAACAATTATGTGGACTCATAGAGCTATTTTTTAATCTTGTGAACTCATGATCAACCCCTTGTAAAATCTCTATATTTTTGTGATATCAGGACAAAGAGTTTTCAACAAAATCACATTTCTTGTGAACTCAAGCTCATGATTTTGGTTCTAGAATACTCAAGTTACACTAGTTTACTCAAATCATCATCAAGTCAATATTTCTACGACTTCCCCTCAGTTCTAACACTCTTATGAATCAATTTCTACGGGTCAAATAGCTCAAGTGATATTATGTCATTTCTTATATGCTTTTGATGAACTTTATTTTAGACTCTTTAGATCCTTTGAGTGACTAGGCTAAGGATTTGATGTAGATTAAAGTTGTTTTCACTATCTTTAGTCAAAGCCTTCTAATTGATCAAGCCTTTCTAAAATATTTTTTGTTCAATTGGACATAATTCCTTTCATTATGTCACTTACTTGAGTCATTATTGAGTATTCATGACCAGATCTAGTGACTATTTAACTAAATAATGACATAAATTTAAGTATAGTTTTAGTTTTTAAAATGAAATGAGTTAGCTAACTAAAATTTGAAGCTTTGATATCAAATTGAATGTAGAAAATATTCAAAATAATTACTTAACCCTAAAAAAGTAAAGAATTACTGAGATTAGGGTGCCCCAAATAATAAATTGACCAACTTAAAATCAAGGGGTTCTCACAACACTCTTCAGTAACTATAATATATCACTAAACAACAATTTTATAATTAATATAATATATAAATAAAATAAATAATTTAAAAAGGAATGTGGTCTAGACATTACTTTGATGTCAAAGTGGACATAAGTTCAAAGGATGTAACATATGGTCAAAGTTATAATTGTTAACTTTTGACTAAGGCTAATCATTGACTGATGTTTATGATTAATTGTTGATAGTTGACCATTGACCAATTGACTGATTTAATAATTAAATGAGATCTAATTATGATGTAATTAGTCAACAATTTAGACAGAATGATTCACTAAATGGTTTAGGTTTAGTGGACTTAGGTAGTTAGATTTGAGGGTTCTGAATTAGTTTAGATCAAGCATTTTACTAGCTCAAGAATTGGTGGGAACTTAAATCAAACAAACAGATGGTGGATGACAAACAGGATAATGTTTAATAGACATCAGTTGGAGAAAGATTGAAAGTAGTGAATATGAGATGGAGATGATGAAACTATGAAAGTATAATGATGGACACAAAAAGATAGATAATAGAAGAGGATGACGGTGGATTGTTGATAGATAATGACCATCATAGACTCTCCTCATAAAGTGATGATATATGACCTCATTGCCTCTCCTTCATGGAGTGATGATAAGTAATTCACATCATGAAATAATTCTTCTTTGTCATTTCTAGGATTATAAGAAATTATTTATAACCTCTTTGATATCTAACAAAACAAATAAATGATTAATAATAAATAAAATCACTCTTTAATAGGCTTGGGATGATGTGATGGCAACATGGGCAATAGTTTCTAGCTCATTTAGCTTTCATCAAGTTTAGTTGTGGGGTATGACATTAGGGCCTCCCACTCATCCTCATAATTCTAGTGTTTATAGCATGTCAACTTGTTCATCCACTCTTTCTTCATTTCTTCCTTACCATTTTTTATAATGATGAGATTTATCTAATTCTCCTGTTAAGACCTTTATGTTCATCTTCAAAAGGTTTATCTAGGGGCCTAGAGAAAAATCCAAAAAACACTTGTTTTGCATTTAATGACAAATTCAGGCACAATCCATTGTTATCAATGGTAAGAACCAAGTCATATCCCACTAACACCAACATGATGATGTGTCCTAATTCATTTGCTATGGATGGTAATTTATTTGCAATAAAATGTTAGAGATTTCGTTGGTGTTGTACTAATCCTTTTATATTCTGGCCACGTGCTTCTGTGACTTAGGTATATTATCTACCTTTATTATGATTTCATGTTATCTACAGACATTTATTCTAGTTAAATATGTACCATATTGGTATTACTTCTATTCAAGGGTGAAGCTGATTTGAAAGGGGAAGTTTGATGATATTTTTTAGAACCTATTTGCAAAGGAAAATCTTGGACAAACTTTGGTTCATTGTGTGTAATCAGGAACTAGAGAATGCCTACATCTATCATTAATTCTCAATTTATTTTATATTTTAATTTAAGCACATAAAATGAATATTTGACTAAGATATACTTGGGACATCAACAAAAATGCTCATATCTTTGGTTGAGAGAAATGATAGATTAGATCATGTATATTACCAATTAATTATATTATTATGAACACATTGGCTCTGAAACTAAATTAAAGCATAATTAAGTTAATTTAATTCTTTCCATTTATGTCATCACAATATGTAATCTATATAAAGCCCATTAATGGAATATATATTTTCCATTGAAAACGCCATTAATGGAATATAAAGCCCATCCATCCACTATGTAATCTTCCTCTTATGTGATCTTCTTGTTTCTTTGAACGGGTCATGCAGCTGGAGACACTTCTTTCTTTATTTGGATGTTCATTTGTCTTGCGAAGGCTAGCTTTTGATCCATTGCCAGATCATGGGAGATCAATTTCTTAGAGGGAAGCCACTGAAGGATCTTGGTGGAGGAGGGGTCTTTGGGCCTTCATAGCTGGTGTGGCTGCCTTCTTGAACGGGCCTGAAGAGGGATTTAAGGAGTTTGGGGTCAGCTTTGTAGAATCAGCCATGATGTTGCAAGAGCCAAATGCTTTAGGCCCAGAAAATTTTCATTCTCTCGGTAATTTCTTCCATGGAACCTCTACTTGTTGGGTCTCAATGGTGAGCCCTCTATTGTTTCTATCTTTAGAGATGTATTTACATAGATTTGTATATATATACACCTAGATACCGCGACAGAGAGAGAGAGAGGGAGAATTGGGGGTGGGGGAGGGGGCTGCTGCGGCTAAATACTCCACCTTGATGGATTTGTCACGCCGGGTGGCCGGGGGCGAGGCCGCCGGCCAACTCTTCCGTACTTCTCTTCCCTGTTTTCCAGACATGGAGGAGACATCTGGGTATGAAGACCCTCTTCGTTTGTTTTAGGGCAGACGACCCCAGTCGCCATCTAACCGCTGTCCCGAATCAGTTCGCCCCCACCTTTCTCGAACCTCTTCGGTGTGCCTTTCCTTGTCTTCTCCGCTCGCCGGCGTGGAGTGGTCTCCTGCCAGAAGTCGGCGGCGCTGCACTCTCTGTCAGCCGCCGCATTCTACGGTTTAAGGGGAAATTAGGGCGGAGCTTCCCATCTTCTTCCTCCCGCCCTCCTGAGATGGGGAAGGCGGGCGACGCAGCCGGCTCCTCCGGTGGGGAGGAGGAGCCGTTGGACGTCAAGCCGCTAAGGTCCTTGTCGCCGATGTTCCCGCCGTCGTTCGGCTACAGCCCTTCCGTCTCCCCTCCGAGAGCCCCTCCTTTCGTCTTCATCTCCCCCTTCTCCCCCTCAGCCGCCGACCAGGCGGCGCCGCCAAGCTCCGACGGGTACCGGACCCCGCCGGTGAGGCGGAAGCCCAAGCGGAAGAAGAAGAAGATCTCCAAGGACGAGCCGGCGGCTCTCCCCTCTTCCTTCTCCTCCCCGGAGGAGGACCCCGAGGCGGTGGAGGTGGTCCTTATGACCTTCGACGCCCTCCGGCGGCGGATCCTCCAGCTAGACGAGATCAACAACGTGACCCGCCGCCCCGACATGAAGGCCGGCGCCACCATGGCGGACTACGACCTCCGCGCCAACAAGACCAAACGCGTTGGCCCCGTCCCGGGGGTCGCCGTCGGGGACATCTTCTTCTTCCGCATGGAGCTCCTCCTCGTGGGCCTCCACTCCCAGAGCATGGCCGGCATCGACTCCGCCGTGGCCCGCTTCGGCGGCGTCGCCGAGGCCGTCGCCGTCAGCGTCGTCTCCTCCGGCGCCGGTGGGTACGAGGACCAGACCGACGCCGTCGACTCTCTCGTCTACTGCGGGCAGGGCGGCGCAAACCTGGACCAGAAGCTCGAGCGGGGCAACCTCGCCCTGGAGCGGAGCTTCTGCCGGGGCACCGCCGTGCGGGTCATCCGGGGCCTCAAGGACCCGACGAGCTCCTCCGCCTCCTCCTCCGGCACCGGCACCGGCAGCAGGATCTACCTGTACGACGGGCTGTACAGGGTGAGCGAGTACTGGGCCGACCGAGGGAGGACCGGCTTCAACGTCTTGAAGTACAGGCTCCTCCGGCAGCCCGACCAACCCGCCGCCTACGCCACCTGGAAGGCTGCCGAGACCTGGAAGCGGAACCCGGCCGCCAGGCCCGCCGTCCGCCTGCCGGACCTCGCCGCCGGCGCGGAGCCCTTCCCCATCTGCGTCGTCAACGAGGTCGATGCCGAGGACCGCCCGGCGCCCTTCCTCTACGCCGCAGCATTTTCCCCTCCGGCCCCGGCGGGCGGCGCCGCCGGCTGCGGGTGCGAGGGGGCCTGCGTGCCCGGCGACGGGGGCTGCGCCTGCGCGCGGCGGAACGGCGGGGAGCTGCCGTACAGCGGTGGCGGGGTGCTGGTGCAGCGGAGGGCCGTGGTGTATGAGTGCGGGGGACTGTGCACCTGCTCGGTGATCTGCCGGAACAGGGCGACCCAGAAGGGGGTGAAGCTCCGCTTCGAGGTCTTCCGGACGAGGGCCCGCGGCTGGGGGCTCCGCTCGTGGGACCCCGTCCGCTGCGGGGCCTTCGTCTGCGAGTTCGTCGGAGACCCCGTCGGCGAACTCTGCAAGGAGGAAGAGGAAGACGATGAGTACATGTTCGAGGGGAGGAGCTCCGAGGAGGGGAGGCGGAAGTGGAACTACGGCCCGGAGCTGCTGGGGGAGGCGGCGGAGGAGGAGGCGGTGGCGCCCCCGGTCGTGGTGGCGCTGACGGCGAGGCGGCGGGGGAATGTGGCGAGATTCATGAACCACAGCTGCTCCCCGAACGTGTTCTGGCAGGCGGTGGGGCGCGGCGGCGGGGGCCCCCCGCAGGTCATGTTCTTCGCCGCCCGGCATATCCCACCGATGACGGAGCTCACCTACGACTATGGCATGGGCGGCCGCAAGCTTAAGAACTGCTCCTGCGGCTCCTCCAACTGCCGCGGCTTCTTCAACCAGGCCTGATCAGCTGGAAGGGGGAGGAGAGTCGGCAATTTCTTTTTGCAGAGACGAAGAGGGAGAGAGAAGCCCGGAGTTACTCTCCGGTGTAAATAAGTCGTCTTCCCTTAATTTTTGCTGTTTTTGGTGGGCCCTCGGGCTCTGGCGCGATACATATGTATATATCGGGAACGAGCTGCAGGGTTGCCATATAGTTCCACGTGGACGGAGAGGATTTCTTTACAGGAAAATGGGGGAATATTCCGACCTCTCTTCGGACCCCTTCGATCCAGTGCACCAGGGAGGGGGGTGGGGGGGGGTGGGGCGCTGAGGGTGAATATAAATTGCCACCTGACGGTACGCGAAAAGTCTACCGGCTGCCGGAACTCTTCCAAATCTTTCCCCCCGCTCCTTCGGAGACCTTTCATGTCCAGCCCCCCCACCGACGGCGAAGGATCTGCTTTGTATTCGTCGCGCGCTCCGCCGGGAAGTTTCAGCTCCAGCCATGGCTCTTATCGTGACGATGACAGCTCTATGGACCACGATGACGGTGGCGCCGTCTCACCTGGTGTCGGATCGGGACAGATCGCATCCCCCGTGGTTACGACGGAGCGGGATGCATCGAAATTCGGTGAGCTTTTGGATGTTTTTGGTGGTTTTTCTTGCCTTTGTCGAAATTTAGGGCTTGGTTTTCTCGGAGGTATTTGTTAGGGTTAATAATTCGTGGAACCATCCTCCATGTCTTCTTGTGGTATAATGCAAGAAGCGGCGAATTGTGTTCAATGTTGGGGATGGTGCGCAGCCCGGTGAAGCTCTTAGTTACGGATTCTTGCATTTAAACCCTGCGACTGATTAGTGCTCCAATTGGATATTTCACTCCTTTCTGGGCTCTATTCCGCCCATCCCCTGTGTCTTCTTGTGTTAGAATGTGAGTAGCGGCGAAATTGTGTTCGATGTTGGGATAGTGCACGCTCCGGTGAAATTTTTAATAAAGGATTCTTGAATTTGCACCTTACGACTGCAGGGTGGACTTTGTCGGAATAGAGTCCAGAAAGAAGTGAAATACCCGATTGGGGGACTGAAGAATGTTACATGAAACAGTCGGGCGCTATATCAGTGCACTTACACACACACACACACACACACATATATATATATATATATAATGCAGTCTAAGAGGTTATGCCGTCTTCTGTCCGCCTTTGTGCCATTGTAACCATGGTCTTTGTCGTAAGTTTTTTTTTTCACCATGTTTTATATATCTTGGCACGGTTTGAATCTTCAAACTCCAGATATCGACTTCAAGGTCTCCTTTGAGTTGATCTTCCCCATTGATTGTATATGGAAAGCGGAAAATCAGTTAGTGCCATGCGTCAGATGTGGCATTTCACTTCTTATCTCATTAGATTTCCATTCGCTCTTCGGTTTCTGATGTGGGATTTAATAATGTGCTACGAATGCGTTACATGTTTTCAGTTGAATTCTCCGACTGTGCATACTAGGGATGATAGATTTCATCACAGTTCTCTTTAGACAAATATATGAGGGACTTCAATCGCCGTGGTAGAGAGCTAATTATTTGGTGAATGAGTTATGCATCTTTCATTTTCTAAAGAGTTTTTCAATATTTTAGTGCTGACGGTGTCATCAGTAATGTTATTTAACTTTTTATATAAATGTCTAATATGTGGGATCCATGAAGCATGTGTATGAAAAATTCTAAGATTCAGATCACGTGAGTCTAAAAGGGGACGTGGGTCCTAGTCACACCATTCTTCTAGCATCTTGAATTGTCTTACTATCCATGACGCAAGTCCTGATGAAATATCAAAGTAGACGGATCTAAAGGGTAACTACACAACGACAATCCCAATTGCACAGTTCCTGATCAAACTTTAAATGTATATGACTATCTTTGTTTAAGTCTTTGAGATTCTCATGCGTTTCAAGATTGGTGCTTTTGTTATGAGGGACCTTTGGTGATGTATAGTTCATATTTGAAGAGGCTTGAAGGTTAAATTTGACAAGGCTACGTTGTGATCTGTTTGGACCTGATAGTGACAGGATATGAAAACTAGAGACCTTTGTACATGATAATGAATTGTTTTTCATTGATAACATCCCTTTTTTCGACAGTCTCTAGAGTTTTATGTAAATAATATTTTTTCTCGTGAATTGCTTATTTTAACTTTACCTGGATCGTGAAAATATACCTCTGGTCAAGGTCGTCCTGTTATATTCTTCGCTCTAACGTCAATTTTTTTCTTCACAGCTGTGGGAGCTTCAGTCTTTGCCGACTTTGACGAGTTACCACAGAAGGTACCTCATTTGCCTTTTATGGCTGTTTCTAGAGAACTTGGTCTCTGTGGATTTGAGTTGACTAAACCACTTGAAATTACATGGAGCCATGCAATATGATGTCATGGTACAGACAAACTGCTCGTTCCCATGTGTTTAAATAATAATTGATTAGCTCCTTGCAATAGACACGATGGAGACGAAGAGGTAGGAAGATAATGCTATAGAAACACTGTAACTACAAATAGAAGACTCTAGATTTATCAAAACTTGTGTGAAACTCCTATGACCTGTTGGCCTTACTGTAGAGATGATGCCCAATGGTCTGCCTCAAGAAGTTACTCACCATTTAAACTTCTTAACTTGTGACTCTTGAACTCATTCTTTTGATTGATGGGTAAATAGGAAAAGCAACTAACTCACCAATTACCACCACTAATGAAAAAGACATGACAAATAACTCTCGAAACAAAGTGCCCTGTCACATTCTCCAATTAACAAGAAATATTGGTCCATTGACAATAATCCCATTTCAAGCCCAGTGGGGTGTGTGTAGGGATCCCCGGTGGCATATTCGTCAGTACAACTTACTATGATTAGACCTGAACTGCTTGGCTTGCTGTATGTCAAATGAATGGGTGTCACTTAATGATAATTTGGCTTGAGGTTGAACAGAAGTTGGGTTAAAATCGTGACAAAAGTAACGGGCCTCTTCCTTTTAACTTCTTGAGAGATTATCTGAGAACATTCTCCATTTGGAAGATCTTTTTTGACAGAACATTATGCCTCAGGATTTGGGGATAGTTTTATGCCATCCCTTTATCGAATGAGCTTACTGCACATTTTTTCTCGTTGAGTTTTCACCTGGAGTCAATAGGAATCCTAGACAGAATAAAGTTAGTCTGCTTCTTCTTTTATCCAGGATAGTATCCCATTCTTACAAATGACATGATTTACAGGCCAACTCAGTGCTGATGGAGTTTGCTTTTTTATTGCCTCATCTATGTCGATTTCTTAAAACCACCTAGTGCTGATGGAATTTGCTTTTTTTTCTATTGTAGGTGTCTGAGTTAGGAATGGTTGATGTGATAGATAGATCACAAGGCAGGCGCAGTGGTGGCAGTGTGCTCTCCCATTCATTGAGTCAGGGAGTAACATCTTCTCGGGCCATATTTGATCAGCCTTTCAAAGGGAGACAATCTAGTCTTGCATATGCACAATCTGATTCATCTGATGGTCTTCGCAGTAGTCCTGTCCAGTCTGTTGGACGGAGGAGTCAGGTTGTCAGCGGTAATCATTTGCTGAATTTTCATTTTGACCCTATCTCTCGTCCTCAACCAAGAACGATGCCTCCTAAAAGACAGCAAAAGGTTAGACCTTATAGCAAAGACCTCTTCCTTCAAGCAAATTACAAGTTTTCTGTGCTAGACACTGGCGATTACGTAAGAGGATCTATGGATCCAGATAAAATGCTGGAATGGGAAGATGTTGTCTGTGTAAGATACTTGACCCCCTTCAACGTTCAGTGCCCAATTTGCCTGGAAAGCCCAATGAGTGCACAGATAACATCATGTGGTCATATATACTGCTTCCCTTGCATTTTGCAATATTTACTGATGGGAGAAGACAACCACCAAGTTGACAGCTGGAAAAGATGCCCTCTTTGTTTTACGATGATTTCCATAAAGGATTTGTATACAGTCTATATACATAACGTCAAGCCGTACAATGTGGGTGATCATGTGCACCTTACGCTGCTCACGAGAGCAAGAGATTCCTCAGTACCCTTGCAAAAGAATCATCAAAGGTTTGATTCTGTGCTGTGCGGAGTTGATGACCTTTGGGACTCGTTTACTAAGTTCACTCTGACATCAGATGTGGAGTTATCTGTGCGTGAGGCAAAAAAGGATCTTAATGACTGGCTGGCCAAGGCAGACGCGGGATTGGTTGATGACTTGGAGAAGCTTCCATACGTTTGTGCTGCTTTAGATCAATTGGATAAAAGAATGAAAAATTGGGCCGAACATCGCACTTTTAGCAATAGTCTTCCTTTAACTGGCGCCTTCCCAAGCTCCATGCCAGTATCATCTCCCCCTGATAGGACGAAGCCTTCTGCCTCGCGGGCAACCAAGACTGATGAGAGGATACACTCCAAGGCGCCAGAATTGCCAACCAGAAGGCTGTTCCCAGGCCAGGAGGGTGGGTCCAATGGCTGGCAAGTGGATGCAGAGGCTCATCTGATGCCGCCTTCTCATGTACAGGAACACTGGGAGAGCCCTGAGAAGGCGTTGGCAAAGGATGGGACCAAAGAATCTCAGAAGCACTCTGATAGCAGGGACAACAACAACGAAAGGGACTCGTACTTTTTCTATCAGGTGAGGCCGAAAGTTCATTTTTTTCTTTCTTTTTTTGTTTTATCCGTGTTAATATTGTTGCCATGTATCTTGCTAAATTTAAAGTGTTTCTCTTAGATTTTGATTCGACGCATTTTATTGGTATTTTGAGTACATTTTCAATATATAGTTCGCTGATTGGTTATAATCGGTCATCGTGTTGTTAACAATTTTATTTTGAGGGTTAGACTGATTCACTGACGGAATAGCTTGCCTCTTATGCAAATCACCATAATCGGGTTTGGTGCATCTGTTACGTTCTTGTTGAGGGCCTTTCTTTTTTTGTCCGTTATTTTTCAGGCTGTTGATGGACAGCACCTCATCCTCCATCCATTAAACATGAAATGCCTTCTTCACCATTACAAGACTTACGATTCATTGCCAGAAAGGTACATCCATCCTTTGTTTCCATGTGGATATTCATTGCCAAAGAGCAGAGAATTTTTTTTCTGTTATTTTAATTTCTCAGGGAAAGCGGACGAAGTAGATAGAATTCTCGCCGAATCACTCTTCTTATTTCTATTCTTTCTCTTGGTTAAAATAAATAACAATACTTATCTTTCTAGAAAACCACACTTTTTTTGTCTCAGAATTGATGGCAAAATCTTAGAGCTGGAGACCGTTACTCAGTCAGAAGTTGCAAGGAGGCGCTATCGGTTCGTGAGTCATTTTCCCTTGACGACTAATTTTCAGGTAATTGGTCGCGGTTTTGCCTTTAATTTTCTTATCTAGTTGGGCATCTTTTTGCTATTTTCTTCACATCATCTCACCGAGAATAAACCAACCATGCAGCTTTGCGAAATCAACCTGGGTGACGTCTTACCGGCGGATGCTCTATCCCCATTCATGGATGAAATAAAGAAGCGCGATAAACAAAGGAAGAGACTTGCGAAGAAAGTAAGCTCCTTCCTGCTCAAGAAATCTATCACGAACGCCACATCCTCCTCCCATTCCTTTCACCTACTCTCAGAAAGTTTGGATTAATTTTCGGTCACCACTCCTGTCCTTTACCTGCAGGAGCAGGAAGAGAAGGCTCTCGCTGAAGCTGCCGAATTGATTGCCAGGCCTGGCGCGTTCAACGATCACGGCCCCTCATCTCGTAGCAGTGCCGCGTTCTCATTGGACGACTTTGAAGGTGAGACAAAGAGTCTTCCCCCTCTCTCACCGATCGATCTTTTCTTCCTTGGGTAGCTCCTCACTTCCTTACCCTCTCCAGCTTTGGGAAGCTCGATGGCTCTGTCCACGAGCCCACCCGCCACCGGCGAGAAGAAATCCTTCTCGGACGTCGCGAGGCTCGGGTTCGCCTCCGGTCATGACTCCCCGTCTCTCCGGCCTGGGGACGCTTCTACGCATAGCGCGGAGGCGGCGGGCGAGGCGTCCACCGTTGCGGGTAAGCAAGCGATCATCGTCATCTTCTTTCTACTTTTTCCTTCCCGTGCTTGTTCTTCAGCCAGAATCAGCAACAGCCCTCCCCCTCCCCGGTCTGCAGGGCAAAGAACGGCCGCCATGTCGTTTGCTGGGATCACGGCGGCGCCCAAGGCCGCCGCCGCCCCCGCCGCGGGGGCACCGAAGATCGAGGGACTGGGCAGGAAAGGGAAGAAGCCGGCGAGGGTGCTCCTGTCGACGGCTGGGGGTAGACGCTACTGATGACTGATCCTTCTTAGAGATGTTAATAGAACCCCGACCCGCTGTTGTGGCCAGGAGCTTTTAGACGTGGTGTAAATCATGGGGGACGACGTTATTGAGGCGAGCTGCCGCGCTCTTGCTGAAATCAGGTCGGGGGCGTCTCTCTCATCGTCACCTAGAGAGAGAGAGAGAGAGAGAGAGAGAGAGAGAGAGAGAGATTCTGGGAGCGTCGAATTTTACGGCGGAACTGGAGAGCGATCTCCTGATTTTAGGGTTATGAGCTTCGAAAATGGGTGGGTGCGGGAAAGTCTGGGGCTCTGAGATGCACAGATCCATTCCCGGATTTAGATTCATCGACGAGAAGCTTGTACATTGAAATATACACGCCAGGAAGGGGTGATATATGTATACAGTGAACGCTTTATTTAGCCGCGGCCGTCTCATTGAAAACCCCTTGCTGGTACTCCGGATCGCAGAACTCCCCCCCAAGGTCGTCGCAGGCCTCGCCGGGGAAGACTCTGCAGAGGAGAAAGGCCCCACGGTTAGAGTTTCTCTTTCGCTCTTCGGCAGATTCCGATCGCGCGGAAATAAATTGGGAGAGAAGATCTCCGGATCATACGTTTTGCGCTCGCTGTAGTCGAGGTACTCCCTGTCGACCTCCTCCGCGCCCGCCCTGGCGGCCGCAGCGGCCTGCTGTGGGGGCTTCACTTCGGGGAACATCTCCACCGCGCACGCGTCTCCTCCGATCGTCTCGCAGGCCTCCGCCGGGAAGACGCTGTCCAAGGGGAAAACCTGTCATCGTCATCTTCTCTTCTCTGCCGCGGATCCACGGTGAATATAGAAGAAGAAAGAAGCCTCTATCTCGACTAATTGTCCACCGCATTAACGAACGATCCCCATCGGATCACCAGTAGCGGGAAGAAGACCGGAGAGGAGAGGATCTGAGGAAGACTCACGAGGTGGAGGAGCTGTAGTCGACGATGAGGTTTTCCGGGGCGGCGGCGACAGCCAAGGACGGCAGGTGCGTGGATCTACGATAGCCGCCAGTGGGGAGCAACCTTCTAGGGGCCAAGGTCCTGATACCTTTGGCCGGCAGGGGCACGGCGAAGCAGAGGGCGGCAGCCTGCATCTTGACGGAGTTCCGAGGGGCAGCGGCTGTGATTGATTAGTGGCGGAGAACGCTCTGCAGGGGACGGAGGTGACGAGCGCTGCTGGATAAGGAAAGCGCTAGCGCCTCGGTCCCGGTTTTATACTGTGAACGCGGCAGTCCTGTGGATAGGGGCCAGTCACTTCTATTGTGCCTTTACACTCATATCCTCCTAGTCAACGGAAATTTAAATTTACTTTAAATAAATAGATTATAAGATATATATCCTCTTTCACATTAACAGCCTCGAAGCATCCAAAGGGAATGTCACCGGTCTTGGGGTGGGGGCGGTTCTCGGGGGACATGGATGTAATATTAAGTTGAGTGCTTCTGCAATTTTTAGTATATTAATCGGTAAGATATAATTTATTTATCAAGGAGGATGTATGTGAAATAAATGGTAGCTGGTAGGTGAGGGAGGTGACTATCCCCATCATCTCGGAGATTTTTTTCTCGAGCTCTCGGGAGATTTTTCTAGCACCGGCTAGAAGACAAAGGCTCCGGATAATAAGCTCGTAGCCGATGGCTACGGATCTACACGCTAGCCGCTGTGATCTTGTCTCGAGAAGAGAACATAACCTGGACGGCCCATGATGATGCCGTTTCCTACTCGACTCGTAAGTGTGATTATGACTTGTACTGAGAGAGAGAGAGAGAGAGAGAGAGAGAGAGAGAGAGAGAGGAGTCCGTGTATAAGTTGATATGGGTATTTCTTTCAAGTTCAATTGGAATTGAATACTATATAATATACTTTTATGTTTCATACTTACTGTAATGTTCTGAAAACATTATTATGTACGGGCATATGAGCCTACTACTCTAGGTGAAATCAAATTAGGACAATTTAATGGTGGCTTCATGTAATAGCTTTGTGATTGAGTTTATTAGTTATCATTTTACATTTTTTCTTGATTCTTCATTGACAAACTTAGACTTGGAGTCCCATGCGTCTTGAAGTTAGTAAAAGATATTAAATGACAAAAAAAATCATTTCATATCAATAGATTACATTCATTATCATTTAAAACTGCCACAAATGATTTTTACTTATCATAAAAGAATTCAAAAAAAACTAAGAGTCATATTAAAGTGCACCAAATCTCATGCTACTCTTTACTTTTCCAAAAGGGGGGATTGAACCTATTCTTTAAAGATTATCACTTAAACTTATGTGTATTTTTTTAATTATTTTATATTTTTTGGGATAAAATATAATTTATACAACTTTGAAAGGAAGAATAACATCAATAGTCAATGTACAAATTGATAGTTAACTTGTTAAGAAGTCTATATATAATTCTTAAAGGACCATTCCTTAAGCTCTCTTAATCACTAAGAATTACAATTGATTATTTGAGATCAACTCCCTCACACTCTATAGATTCTATGTGTCTATGAAACTTTATTAGAAACCTTGATTCTATGAATGATTACACTAAGTTCACTACAAATTCTTACATTATAATCCAACACTACAAAAGTACTCACACATCAACTAACACATCATATGTATGTTCACAAGAATTAACACACCATAAGTTACAAATTGATTGAGCACATCATATGATCCATAGATAACATACTAGTAAATAGGGAAAGGGGGTTGATTAATTTATTTTTTAATATTGATGATTTTACAAGTATAATCATTGTTGTTAATTTAATTTTGATTGGTTGGGTTTAAATATAATTATCTTATATGTAATAATGACTAAATGTTGACAAATAGTTAAGACAATATTTTAGAGTGATTCGATGTGCTAAAACCTTAGGTTAATCTTTCTTAAGTTCCACTAATCACCACCTATAATTATAGTTGAAATTTGAAATCATATCCCTCTTACACCAAAGACTTCTCAAGTCTACATATCTACATTAGAAACCACAGCTCTAATTGTTCTTACATATATTTGGATATACCATGTACACTCACTTCATTCCTATCATGTCATATACTTGTGAGAACTCAAACACATCTTTAATAACCTAATAGTTATAGATCAAAACACAAGTATTTCTCAGCAAATAGGTAAGAAGAAGACACTAGCGACTATAGAAGGCTAACCGTGTTGCTGCCCACTAAGAGGGAAATCGAAAGGAAGAAACTTTAACCTTCTCCATCTAAGGTCCTTTGTCCTCTTCAGAAGAGGGTTGAGTGTTGTGATTGTATACTAGATCCATCTCCTCCTCTACCATCATTTTCAAGTGGAATGAATGGGCGTCGTTTTCTTTTTGTCTCAATTTTTCCTCTCTTGCAAGGTATTGAGGTGTTGACTCTTCTTTGAGATTTCCTCTTTTCTCTTTGGCTCAAATGGAGGTCAAGAAGCTTCAATCGAGGCCCCCAAGAATAATCCAGCTTACACAACTATGTATCTCAAGAACCTAGCTCACGAGGTAATCTCTACTCCAATTGTTCAATCACCCCTTTGAAGAAATCTACTTCACCCTTGGGAGATGCCAGAGTTTGTCTTGTGCTTTCCTCGTGTGAGTTGAGTTCTTTTAGGTCACTCAGCCAGAGCTCCACCACTAGTTCCTCACGCTCTCGAGGAAGGTGTCATCGAGGAAGTCTGCATACAAAGAGAGAATGTCACAATAACTGACCTTTCACATACCACATCATATGATCTTCCACCAGTCATAAACATAGAACCTCCACTAGTCACAACTCCTCCATTATCTATAAAAACTTCATTTTCATCAAACACAAAGACCCTCTCTCATACATAAACAAAGCCCAAATCCATTGAGTCAATAACCAACTCCTCTCACAACACAAAGTACCTACTAAAACTTTTCAACTCAAAAAGAAATTAAAAAAAAATATTTATATGTAAATTGTTGTTGTCTCACAAAACATCAAACTTATAGAGAATATATTTTTGAAAGAATGTTGAATTAAATCTTACTCAAACAAATGCCAATCAACTCAATAACTTTCATCTTCTACATCTCCAACATATTATCATTTGTCATTCCTAATTACAACTCTCGAAAATAACCTTGAATTACATCTCAACTAATCAAATGTTGCCAAACTTAATAACCTTCATCTTCTACATCTCTAATATAATATGATATTACATTCTCAACTATATTGCTCTCAATAAATCAATGTGAAAAATATTTTTGATGCCCTTAGACTCATGAATCTTATATCTTTTCTTATTGAAAATTATTCTCATTTTGTCAAACTATTTTATGATAACGTCACAAAAACTACAATCAATATTATCATATATGTTAAAGGGGCCTTAATTGATCTTAGCCCTCAAATTTTGAAATGACAATATTGATTTGCCATCAAGATCATCACTCACCATTGACTGAAAGATACTCAATACTTTTTGTCAACCCTAATTTATATGCATAATATTACAATACAAAAGATGAAAATATTTCAACTACTTTTGTCCCACTACATTATGTATTTTTTAATAGGTTATCTTTTATGGCACAAGAGTGATGACTTTGATATAATTTATGAGAAATCTACATCTATCTTATATTATATCATTCAAATAATACACCTTAACTTTAGTGCCCTCTTCTTAGGTCAAATGAAGTCAACAATGTAATCTCACTCTTTCCTTGATGTCGTTATTACTCATTTATTTCATTACTTCAATGTAAGTAATTTTGTCAAAGAGTCCAATAGTATTCCTATGATCTCATTGACAAATCCACTTGTCACCAAATAAATTATTTTTATGTTTATGGTTAGTAGGTTTATCATTTCTTTTTTACTTAAACCTCTTCTTCTTGTGCCATCATATTTTTTGGTATCATGTGCATCATTGAAGAATTCTATAAGAGTGTGGAACAAGTGGTCCATCGACTCAAGGTGATGAAAGTATAATTTTATAAACTCAAAAACATGATTTTAGAGTTTAAATCAATTTTCTTATGATCTCACCTCATATTGGACCATTCTCATCTCCAATTGTTCTCCGACTCTATTCACTTATCTATTTTTTATAAGTCCATGTTTAGAATGTGTCATAATTTTCACAACAATACTTTTCTATGGTGTGCACGTCTTACACATCTTGTGATGGTTACACTCACGTTGTACATCATTGTAATTACACATGTACAGTACATCATGGTGGTTGCACTTATGTTGCACACCTCCTCTATCATTGCAACGATTAGACCTACACTGTGCACCACATATACCCACTATGGCTATAGCTCCCACACCACATGTCTTCCGCACATATCACAATAGTTACGTCCATTTATGCCTTTTGTGCACATGTTAACATTGGCCCACTTATACTGTGTTATAGTATTTGTAATTACATTGTCATGTGCCTAGTTACCTCACTATATTGTGATTTGCCCTATTGGTTTCATCCTTATGAGACTTGTCAAAGTTTCACTATGCACTAATAAGGGCACTTTCTAGTGCCTTGTGCTTCACATTTCCATCATGTGTTATCACACATTCTATGCCATGTTGTTGCTATCAAGTGGCTTCAATGTGATGTCATGCTCATGCCCACACATGCACTTACTCAAAGACATGATAAAGTTTTATTGCTAAAACCTTGTCCCAATTATCAAGGGTCATGACACAGCCTATGGGTTAAATTGGGCCATAACTTACTAGGCGACATATGAGTGACAATATCATTTATATCTAAAATTGACTTCTTACAAAGAAATAAAATCCATAAAAAGATTATGTAATCTTTAAACTTTTGTTATCTACTTAGTTTGAGGAAGACCAAAATTTATCTTTTTTTATCACACTAGGTCCTCAATTTTCAAATTAAAATTTTATGTTATATGAATTATTTTGATTGTCATCATCAAAAATAGGTTTAATTCATTAACCTTAACTTTATATGTCATAATATTTGTAACCTCATAAAAGTCATTTGTGAATGTAGTAATAGATTGCACGTTGGCTTACTCACATATGGTTGTTAGAATAATTGACTGGACTATAATAATGATAATTGAAAACCTAGAAAAAA